TGAACAAAATATATAAAATATTCATTATAATAATTCATTTTTAATTATAGATTTAATATGATATTGTATAACAAAATGAACAATATAAAATATTTTTATTAATACTGGTATTTATTAATTTAAAATTCAAAATTTGATCTCATCTCGTCTGCAGAAATAAACATATAAAAAATATTTTATTAAAGATTATTTAATTAAAGTCTAAAGATCAAGATTTAACCGAGACGTACAAATAACATAGACGTAATAATGATCAAGCGAACTAAGCCAAACGATCAAGGCGCTCCTCAATCAGGTCTTAAATCATTTGATCAAAAATTTCTCAAATGGGATCAGTTCGTTCAGCTCACACTTGTTGGTCATTAGCTAGTGTTTTTTTAGCTAATGTGTTGATTTCGGAGATGAACATTGGTTTCCAATACTGATTTGCATTCATCTTCCCAAAAATATGCATATTTTTCAATCAATAAATTTCTATTTTACTATCAATCACCGACAAGCCACGTTTCAAGCGCTGAATAGGTTACTACACAATCACGCTTGACACAATCGCTTGACTCAAGCGGTAGGCTGCTTCATCGTTAAGGGCCTCTTTAACCCTTTAATTAAAGAGTAAGTTACTAATATGGTCACTTAGAATCTTATCCTAAAAACACCCACAAAAGCCTCCAGTTTGTGATTGCTGCTAGGTTATCAGGTCTCTGCCAATCACCAATCATCTGACGCAACGTTATCAGGTCTCTGCCAATCATCAATCATCTGACGCAACGTTATCAGGTCTCTGNTTTAAATGAAAGTTTTGTCCCGGAATGTAAAATTGGCCTTCATTTTCCGAATTTTATTTAAAAAGCAGAAGGAACAATATCTATTTTATTAAATAATTCGACATAATAGTAGTAAATTGAAATTAGATAGTTACCTTTTACATTGACATCTTTAGATTTAAATTACAGCAAATTTTCGGCGAAGTTACCGTTCTTAATAAATAATCTTCAAGGGCGAAACATTCTTTCAATAAATGCCGAGTTCCAGACAATGCACGGGTGTAAATATCACTTAGAATGCTTCATACATACTTGTAATCGTGGGGAAATTTGAATTTCTGCATATTTTATTGATAGTTCGCGTGAGGGTTAAGGGGATTTAAGGGCCCAGCTACTTGGCCCAGTGGGTACAGAGGAGGCTCAGCCCAGGGCCAAGAGGGCATTGGGAAGGCCCAGCCCAGGGCCCAGAGGGCACAGAGGAGACCCAGCCCAGGGCCCAGTGGAGACAGAGGAGGCCCAGCACAGGGCCAAGAGGGCATTGAGAAGGCCCAGCCCAGGGCCCAGTGGGCATTGAGAAGGTCCAGCCCAGGGCCCAGCGGGTATGCCGTGGCATTAGCCATAAGGGCACGCGGCGCTGGTTTATTAATGGCAGGCTATGCTGCTTCTGCCGCTACTCTTGTATTATGCTGTGTAGGCCTTATATTAGGTTATTAGGTTATATTATATAGGCATTATATTAGGTTATAATATATAGGCCTTATATTAGGTTATATAATATAGGCATTATATTAAGTTATATTACATTTCATTATATATTATTATTATTATATTATTGGGTTATATAACCCGGGTCCATGGATGGGGCGGCTATATAACCCGGGTCCAGGAAGGAGGACGGCTATATAACCCGGGCCCAGGGAGAAGGCGTCTATATAACCCGGGCCCAGGGAGGGGGGCGGCTATATAACCCGGGCCCAGGGAGAAGGCGGCCATATAACCCGGGCCCGGGGAGAAGGCGGCTATATAACCCGGGCCCAGGGAGGGGGCGGCTATATAACCCGGGCCCAGGGAGAAGGCGGCTATATAACCCGGGCCCAGGGAGAGGAGCAGTTATATAGCCCGGGCCCAGGGAAAGGAGCAGTTATATAACCCGGGCCCAGGGAAAGGAGCAGTTATATA